GGTGGCGAGAGAGAGAGAGAGAGAGAGAGAAGGAGGCAGCCAGGGCTACAGCAGGGGTGCTGCCACACGGCCTCTCCCGCTGCACCGCCTCCTGCCACCTGCCGCGAGGGCTCCGCTCGAGTCGACGGGGAGGGAAGGAAGAGGACTGCCCTGCAGGGCGCTCTGGTTCTCCGTGCCACTGCCCCCTACAGAAAAAAAAAAGCGGCCGTGCCACCCTAGGATTGGGCAGAATGCCGCCTCGAACAATCTGCCGCCCCAAGCACCAGCTTGCTCAGCTGGTGCCTGGAGCCGGCCCTGGTTCCCCAAGACCTTGCTGGTGAAGTAAAGTTGCCCGTAAAGAAGATGCCTATTTCCCATCATTTTCAGTGGGACATAAGCCACGGGGCTGCCATCAGCTATGGCACTGTACAAAAATAGAACAAAAAGATAGTCCCTGCTCCAGTTAATTATTCATCAAGTGCTTTGAGATCCTTGGACAAGAATATGTGCAGATTATTACTGAACATATTTATTACTGTACCAGATGGGATGTCAGTTCAGCCATTCAGCTTGTTACCCAGTCCACACCCCTGTCATTTCCCCCCCATTTGTTTAAAAAGTGATAGAAGAAGAAATGGTTAGGGCAAAATATAGTTTTTGCCTTATACATTTCTACTTTATTTAGTGGTAAATTCTGCAGTTCCCCTGTCTGATATGGGACATTGTGTTGAACAGCCAGTGTGATATTTGTACTGGAGAAGTACATCCAGTGGTCAATAAAAGTAAAACACCAGTACTTAAAAGAAGTCACCAATACTACTGAAGAAACAGCAAACTGACTGGGGACAAGGCAGAGCACTGCGTAACTGGAAAGCTTGTTTCTCTCACCAACAGAAGTTGGTCTAATAAAACATAATTACGTCAGCTACGTTCTCTCTCATTCAGAACACTAAGTTACTGGAAGTATTATGCACACTCCAAGTATTATGCACATGTTAATGACGAATGAAAAGCTAACAGTAGCAACACCAACACAAGTTTGTTTTAAAATACAGTGTGTTTGTCTCTTGTATAACTATTTTGCTACCCTAAAAACATAACCACAACAAACACACACACACACAAACAAACTGGGAGTGGAGGGGAGATGATAACCTTCTCCAATAGGTCATTTTTCAGTTAAAGCATATATTTGCACCCACCAATGTTACAGCACATACCTGTGTGCATGCACTAAACTGGCCTTCCCATGCCAAAGACGACATCTGTAGTCAAACTACATCATGAAAGGGCCTTTACCCAAATGTGCATATGCAGACCGCACTGCAACACACGCCATCAGTTACCCAACTTGTGCATGCAGGTTGTGCTGCTAGGTTATCTGTTACCCGCCTGCACGCTATGGGGACCTCTCCTGGCCCCGCAAACAGGGGCGATCAAGGCCAAATTTAGGCCCTGATTCAAGCTAAGAGGGGGCTCGACCAAGGGAGGCTCAAGGCCTTCCAGACATTTCTGAAAACAAGACCCCCAACGCGGCTGCCACTTCCCGTGAGTCAGCCCTGCCCTCCCACAGCTGCCAGAGCCCCTCTCCCGGTGCCACCGGGCTCCTAATCAGCGCTGGCACCCAGCCCCCTGCCTGGCACCCAGCCCGCCCGACCGCTCCGCCGCGGGGATGCTGCCGCTGGGAGCCGCCGGCGCAGCTGCTCCGCACTAGAGCGCCGGGGAGAGCAGGGCCATGGCCCTGGCCGCGGCGCAGCTCCGGGGGCTCCAGGCCCGGCACGAACAGAGAACGGCGGCGCTGCAGCAGCCGCGCCCCCTCCGCGAAGGCGATGCGGGGTGGGGGCTAGAGGGCTGGACCCCGAACCCGCCCCCATAGAAGTCAATTGGGACAGCTCAGAGCCAGGTTTTTCAACGGCGTCGTTGATTGTGGCGCCGGGAGGACGTTGCATACATGGGGGTGGAGCAGAGGGGAAGGTGTGTTATTGGGAGCAGGGTTTGTATCAGCTGGGGGTGGGGGTTGTGTAGCGTGGAGGGGGGTGCTGTTTTAGCATGTTCGGGGGGTCATTTGAGGGGGGATCATAACATAGAATCATAGATTATAGGACTGGAAGGGACCTCGAGAGGTCATCGAGTCCAGTCCCCTGCCCGCATGGCAGGACCAAATACTGTCTAGACCATCCCTGATAGACATTTATCTAACCTACTCTTAAATATCTCCAGAGACGGAGATTCCACAACCT